GGTACAAGTGTAAACATGAGTAAGAATACAGGAAATAGGTACGAATACATGGGGACAATAGGACAGGGACGGTAGGCACGATGGTGCACTTATGCACGCCCCTTACAGACCTCTTAGAAATGGGTATTCTCTCCCTTCCTTTCTCTCCTCCCTCCATTCTTTTCTCTCCTTCCTTCCTTCCTTCCTTCCTTCCATCTTTTCCTTCCTTACTTTCCTTCCATCCATCTTTTCCTTCCTTACTTTCCTTCCATCAATCTTTTCCTTCCTTCCTTCTCCTTCCCTGTTCTCCTTCCTTCTTTCCTTCCTTCTTTCCTTCTTTCCTTTCTTCTTTTATTTTTTATTTATTTATTTGATTTGTCAAATTGCTTACAAGATAAAAATATACACATGAGTAAGAATACAGGAAATAGGTACGAATAAATGGGGACAATAGGACAGGGACGGGAGGCACGATGGTGCACTTATGCACACCCCTTACAGACCTCTTAGGAATGGGGTGAGGTCAATAGTGGATAGTCTGAGGTTAAAGGGTTAGAGGATGTAACAACAGAGTCAGGTAGGGCATCCCAGGCATTGACCACTCTGTTGCTGAAGTTGAACTTTCTGCAATCACATGGCCATGGGACACTCTGACTGTCATAAACACGAGCCAGTTTGTCAAGGGTCTGAATTTGGATCAGGTGAGCATGGGGGTGCTGGTCGTAAGGGTGAAAAACGGTCATAAGATGCTTTTTTTCAGTGCCTGTTGTAACTTCCAAAATAGTGCAAGGGCCTCGGCTTCGATTCCACCGCCACTTACACGCTTCTCTGCAGCGCCTCCGTTCCTAAACCAGGGTTAATCCTGGATGAGTATGAGATGACATCATGTCACGAAACAACTAGCATTGTTCGGCGAGGTTGTCTTAATATAGTTTGGCCGTTCCTTCTCGTAAGGGAACCAGAAGCGAAGGTATTTTTAAATGGAACAAGTCGGTGGCCTCATTCACCGCTCCGCTGCTGATTAAGGAATCACTTCCCCTTTCGGCTTCTTTAATCAATAAATTGTGCCAAGGAAGGCTCCTTGCCAGCCTGATGCCCTTTTAAGGAAGAGCAACTAAGACGATTAAAGGCCCGGAGACTAAAACATACGAAGAACGGCTGCAGGATTTGGGTTTGGCCAGTCTTGAGAAAAGAAGAATTAGGGGTGACATGATAGCAGGATTCCAGTATTTGAAGGGCTGCCCCAAAGAAGAAGAAGAATTGGGGGTCAAATTATTCTCCAAAGCCCCTGAGGGCAGGACGAGAAGCAACGGAGGGAAATTAATCCAGGAGAGAAGCAACCTGGAATTCAGGAGAAACTTCCAAACGGGGAGGACAGTTAACCAGTGGAACGGCTGGCCACCAGGAATCGTGGATGCTTCATGGCTGGAGGTTTTTAAGAAGAAACTGGACAGTCATTTGTCTGAGATGGTATAGGCCAGGGGTCACCAACCTTTCGGACCTCAGGGACCACTACGTTCATAAGTTTAAACCCCATGGACCACTAATATGAAATTTTAAAAGAAGATAAATAGTATTTACTGCAATATAAAAATGCAAATAACACTTGGCCAATAAAGAATTCTATTCTATTCTATTCTATTCTATTCTGTTCTATTCTATTCTAATTGTACCCAATGACTATTATTAAGTGTTGTACCTGATGATTCTTGACTCTTGACAAATGTATCTTTTCTCTTATGTACACTGAGAACATTTGCACCAAGACAAATTTCTTGTGTGTCCAATCACACTTGGCCAATAAAGAATTCTATTCTATTC